ACGACTGCTGCTACTGCTACTGCTACTGCTACTACTGCTACTACTGCTACTACTGCTACTACTGCTACTGCTACTACTGCTACTACTGCTACTTCTGCTACTGCTACTACTGCTACTACTACTACTACTACTACTACTAGTTTTACTAGTACTACTACTACTACTAGTACTAGTACTAGTACTAGTACTACTACTACTACTACTAGTACTAGTACTAGTACTAGTACTAGTAGTAGTACTACTACTACTACTACTACTAGTACTCCATCAATACCAGTAACATTGCCAATCATTGTCACTACCATTACCACCACCACTGCAACTACCACTAGTACCAGCGCGACTTACCAGCACTACAACTCGTGCTACAAGTACTGCAACCACTAAAACTGCCACACCTGCTGCAACTACTGCAACTGCTACAAGTACTACACCTACCAAAAGCAACTGGAACGGAAACAGCAAGAACAAGAACTAGAACTAGACCACAATATGGCGCGACAAAAGCGGGAGAGAGGAGAGAAGAAGACAATGCAAAAGAAGATGTGATAAATGACGATGGCAATGATGAGGATGATGGTGAATGATCATGAACAAGAAAATGTTGATAAAGATGATGATGAATAGTGGCAGTGAAATATCATACAGCCACGGTTTGAAAATGTTTGAAGCACTTTTTGTGGCTTCGTGCCATGCGCGGAAAAACTTTTACACACAGACGCCTTTACACACAGAACCATTTAAACAGAGATGTACACGCAGACGCTTTGGCACATAGCAGCTTTTACACAGAGAAGCCTTTATACAAAGACACCATTACACAGAGCCGCTTTTACACACAGAAGCTTTTATACAGAGCGGCCGTTACACAAAGCAGGTTTTACGCACATGCGTTTTTTACACAGAGCAGCTTTTGCACACCCACAGAAGCTTTACACGCAGACACCTTTACACACAGAAGCTTTTACACACGGCCGAAGCTTGTACACAGCTTGTGCGCAGAGAAGTTTTTGCACAGGGCAGCTTTTGCACACAAACGGCTTCACAAACAGAAGCCTTTACATAGAGCGTGTTTTACGCGTAAATGCTTTTTGAGAGAAGCCGTTACACAAACCAGCTTTTACACACTGACACTTCTACGCGAAGACGCCTTCGCGCATTTTTCTTTTTAAGCGCCCCAAAGTCGTACACTAATTTCACCCCAGTTTCCAACCTTCAAGCATCATTTGGCCCGAAAGGGTTGCGCCGGACGTGTAAAAAGTTCAATTTCGCCCTATAGATATTCAGACAATCATTTCGTTTCGTGCGAAAAGGCTGCGCTGCAGAAGACAACATTCGCATTTCACCGCGTGTATGGATGTCTCGCGCGCACGGCCTCCGCAGAGGCTCGCGCGAGCGCGCAAAAAATGCATTTCACCATGCGCTTGGACGTCGGGCAGGCACAATCTCTGCAGAGGGCGCGCGTGCCCAAGAAAAAATCCCACGTCACCCCTCAAACACGCACGGTCTCCCCAGAGGGCCGTGTTTGGATGGACGTATCCGGGCTGCCCCTGCCACCTTACCAGAGAAAGACAGAAGGGTCGAGACCTCAGGTGTTTGGTAGGAGTCTTGCAGAAGCTCATAGATGCTGATTGCCTGCATACCTGCGCCGGCGTCGATTATCTAAGATCTAGGTGTTGCAGGAGATGTCGATCATGCAGAAGGTGATTCAGATGATGATGTAGATGATGCAGATAATGTAGGATGTAATGATGTAATGATGTAGATGATGTAGGGAATGCTGATGATGCAGCTGGTGTAGACCTTGATGATGTAGATGATTTAGGGCGATGTAGATGGCGTTGATGTAGATGATAATGATGAAAGTGACCTGGATGATGACAATGAGAAGAGAACCAAAGTAGGCGAGCAGAAGTTGAAGGCGGCAGAAATTCGCTGGGAAAACCAATTCGCGGGAGGTTTCGGGGAAAAGAACACAAGCAACAATGAAAACATTCCTCCTCCCTTCTCCTCCTCCTGTCCCCTGCTACTCTTACTGCCAACTACCGCAATTAGAGTTGAAACTGCAACTGCGCACCAGGAAACTGCGAAAACATCCTTTCCGTATCAGACTCGTCCTTTGGTTGTTTGTCTTCCTCTCCTGATGCCAATGTGTTCTCCCCAGATGATGTGCTGACACACGTTGCCGAATAGACCTAGCTTTGGCTTCAGGAAGAATGATGTTGCAGCTTTCAGTGAGAACCATCTCAACGTATAAAGGCTGCCGGAAAAAAATGCACCCTTGCCAAGTGTCTACTTCTCCGCCTGCGCCTGGTTCACCAAGGCATGTGCGCATGACGTATGGGCCGAAAACACAAGTTGACATCCATGAAAACACCATTTGCCCCGTAAGATAGAAACCAAAAAGCATTAACCAGCAAAACTTGATGCGCCTTGCAAGGACGTAGCAACACTACAGCAGATGGTGCCTCTCTAAGCCTCTGCAGGAGACGCTGCGTGCAATGAAGGGTTAATAAGCTGACGACGAAATGATCAGGCAGCAAGAAAAAAACGTGCAAACGGAGTTGGAAGCCTGCGCAACATGTTGCGATGTCGACTGATGGCGGGGGCAAGCGATGATTAAAATGCTCATGGGAAAGCTCCCGGCGTGAAAAAACGAAGCTAAAAATGACACTCCCAAAGCTCTGAGGATCATGCCTAGCAAGTGGTTAATCAGGGAATCAGAGAACCATGACCCCAAATCCGGTTGTATTTTGATACCCATAAAGCCTTCTATGTCCCTTTCATCCCCTGTGGTTCATTCAAGAGGAAAATCTAATTGCGCGCATGCAACCATTTACACGTACTAGCTTCCATGATGATCGTGGTTACTGTCATTCACCTTGAAGTCATGCGACCGATCTAGACCATCTGGGAGCTAGGTCGGCGGCCGTAATGCCAAATCCTACTGATAGCTACCCGGAAACTAGCCACGGAAAAAAACGCGCATGTACAGCTACACTGGTAGGACAAAAGTTGCGCTTGTTGAGTTTCTGACAATACAATTTGTTTGGGTCCTTCTTCTGCACACCCTTTTTCCCCTTAGAATCGTAGCATGGTCCACCGTCCAAAAGCTTTAAAATCTTAAAGATTTAAAAGAGGGTGATGGTGATACCTGACCGTCCCACACTTGCCACAGAACGGACATGAACATGTGATCCGTGCGTGACCGAGATGGATGTCTTGTAAAGCATAAATTTTGTGCCGCCTGAAGAATACAAAAAAGCCTTTTTAGCGGGGATTGCTACATCATCTGCCTGCGCGTGCTTCAGCTTGGTCATTACTGCACGTAGCCTGTCTGTCTCCATCCTCTTCGTCTGCAATGCTACACATGTGCCGTGATGCGCTGGTAGGACAAAAGTTGCGCTTGTTGAGCTTCCGACAGTGAACATGTTTCTTCTCCTGCGCATCCTGTCCCCTTAGAATCCTAGCATGGAGCTTTCTCGTACCCCGGTCGCATTTCCACCCTCCAAGAGCTTTAGGATCTTATACCTTGATCTTCTGCAACTATTGAAAAATAGGCTTGTCTCTCTTCATCGCCATCTCCAGGAGTCTAGCCAAAGGCTAAAAGGCGAGCCAAAGTGACAAGAAGGAGCAGTTGTACATGCGGCCATCATTTTTGTCCATGCTATAGATCCAAGCTTTTCGTCAAGATCATGGTCACTTGCACGTCCCTAGCAACACAATGTGATTCAAAGGGATAAGCACACAAATTTGTGAATATTCATACAGGTAAATTCTTAACACAGAGCCGAGTGAGATTTCATGTGCTGAACCTATGGAGTACCATTGTCATTGATTAAAAATATATTTGAGACAGTCCTGGACGCATAGTTGGGATTTGCAAGGTATGTGCGGTTGGGAACTTCGCAGTCATGAATGCAAACACTAATGCTTCCATTTAGAGAGAAAGACTATATTGACTTGTGGGGTGTAGTGTTTCTAGGTGCTTCTGGAAAGCCGCTGTAATGGACTTGCAGGAGAACATGGACCAAACAGAACCTGGATTCACGTCAACTTAGAATCCGTCTTTGCCCGGGTTATGCAACCTGTTTCTATGAAGCATCGAGAAGGCTGCCGTTCCAGTTCAGTGAGATATGTTATAGACAAATTTGTGAACTTACATTTTAAAAAAAACATTAAGTAATGGTTGAGAAAACCAAACATATCTATACATCTAAAATTACAAATAAGGTCTTGCATGCTGTCGTACGTACAACATAGCTTTTGGAAATCTGTTGCGTCTATTGGTTGGGTTGCTGGTGCCTTTGAAAGCCAACTGGAACATAAGATAACTTCTCCTTTGAGATGGACATAATTAATCTCAATGTCTACCCATGATAAAAGCAATCAATGCAATGAATGATCAAAGTTGGCATGCTGTCGCCTTTTGCGCAGCATTTGGCAAATAAATTGAATGATACTGTAACGTATTAGGTAATCGAATTACGCATCGGTATCTAGTGGTCTGAAGGCCTAGAACTGTTTGAACCTGCAAAGTTGCTAACGCCTGAAGATACTTGAGCGGTAGGCGTGACGCAACTGAAAGTCAGCAAGAAAGCTTGACATCACCCTGCGCATGTAGCCTCTAACATTTTTGAAGTAGCCGAGCACACTGGACAGCGACAAAAAATAACTATATCATGTAATGCCATATTTTTGTTTCTCCCTAATTTGCGCAGAATACCTGCGGAACCCGTAGGCCAGCAAAAAGAAACACCCTCCGTACATTTTCTTGAGATCTTCACAGCATGTCCACCATATAGTGCTCTTCGTGAAGAGCATCAAAAACATACATGAAATTGAATCAAATTTCCTAATTGCATCTAATTGCGGTGTTTGTCTGTTCCTGTGGCACTACGCTTTCAATTTTTGATTCTAATCTGAGCGCATGCCAGCAAAATGCTAGTTTTGGACAAAGTCGCGCTTCACGCTGATTGGGCCATGGAGATCCTGAGAGTGTGAAGCACCGTGAAACGGGTGTGAACGACCATTATTATGCGTGAACGACTATTGATAAGCGTGAACGACAGGCCACGCAATACATGCATTTTGCATGATTTGTTTCAATACAGTGAATTGGGGGTGTCTTCTGTTGTAATTTAGACAGTTGGCCCACATCGCGTCAACTTGAGACCAGTCATTTGTACTCGTTTCGCCCTGTTTGCCACGTTGAAGAATGCTTTCCATTGTCCTACCTGAAATTAGGGGCATTTTCTGGAGATAGGTTGTACAGCAAGGGGCAAGACTTTGGCATTGCTTGGGGGGCGCTTTTTTAATTTCGAAGCTGCGTGTGCATTTATGTTAATACAGATAAGTCTGATTTGTAAATTATTTGTTCACCTTGAAGGTCTGGGGTGCTGGAACATTGCAAAAACTTGTCGAGTATCTCGCTTACAAAGCTTGAGGCTGCTGTGCAAAGACTTCTGTGCAGGGCAGCGCAGCATGCCGAACATACACGTGCAAAAGCAATACATGTTTCTGTGTTTCTTTTCTTGGCAGTTCCAAAGCAAGTCTATGATTCATGGCTATGATTCATTTTTTGGTTCAAGACCCTTTGCAGCTCAACGCTGTGACAATCTCCAACATCAATGAGATTGAGTATGTTTCAGTGCCTATTGCAAACCATTGCGCGCCACTATGTTTCTCAGGCAGGCAGACCCTGTTCTTGTGCAGGGCTTCGAATTTTTTGACGGCAAGCAAATCGAAGACCGTGTCTTTCATGATTATGAACCTCTAATTCAGGCCTGGGTCAAGCACCAATTTTGGCCAGCATTGAGAAATAAGGTCATTGACATGGACGCTATTCCCACGCGGAATGTTTAGCCTTTTCCTGAAATCTGAGCCACACTACGTCGTGCAAGCAGGAAAAAACACGCGTACAAATACTCACAACCAAAGGCCAGCAGTAATGAAGTAAGCGCAAGGAAAAATAACCATATCAAAGCCATTGTCAAAATCGATTTGCGTGAACAAGCCATGTAGCCGCCAAACGCAACTTACTGGATTCTGAATTGGTTCTGCACGAATCGAGGAGCTTTCCTTACATGTATGAGATTTGGTTTTTCCTCTCTAGGTCTTGTTTGGCAAGCATTGCTTTGTGGTTTTCAGAAGCAGGTTTTGAGACTTTAGATGCTTTAAGAGTGTCTGTGCGCAGCATTGTATGCGTCACAAACATGATGAGCTACGATTCGGCGTTGGCTGGCTCACAAAATGTGTGCAAACCATATCAAAGTATCAAGAAAACGCGCGTGCCAAATTCGGCCAAGGCCTCGTCTGCTTTTGTGGCATATATTCAATCACCTTGCGACTGTTTTGAAAACCCGGTGCCCACGGAAAGCCTATTAATTGCATTGCCTTGGGAAAGTTAGGGCATAGATTTTAAAAAAGGTGAAAGTTGACCGTCCCACACCTGCCACACAAAACGGAC